GGCGCGAACACCTGACCTCCCACACAAATTCCACACTTTTCACCAGTTGGGCACTTCATCTTAATTAATTATTTCTGTCAAATATTATATTTATTGTATAAATATATAACAGCTGAACCCTTCGCCATGGCAGTTGCGGTGGCAACCCGGATGGGACGGGTGAGCGAGCAGCTTTGGTAATTGAGTACATGTTGAGTGAAGAGTGAAATTACAAGGATTCCATGTGTACATAATTCCTGAGGCTTCAAGTTTGCGGCCTGAACAAAGAATTGGATATTGAGGATTGTGTGGGATCTGGTTGGCTACGACATTAATTCATTTATTTTGTTTTGACTTTCCTTCTCCACAATGTCACATTGATTTGCAATTGATGCATAAATCTAATTTGTAATTGATTTCCAATACAAATAGAGGCGGGTACATACCTAGAGCTTGTTTGAGAGAGCTTAAAATTCAATTAAAAGTAAAAATATAGTTGTTATTGGGTCTCACTCGTCTAATAAAAGTCAACAATAACGGCTAATTTTTCAATTTTAATCTGATTTTAATCTTTACCAAACAAATTCCTATTCAATTTCCTGTGTTGCATAAATCTTACTGCTTGAAATAATCCTTCTTTCACCAATCTTTTGCGGTGGATCATTACCTAAAACAATTGCTACTCCAATCACACGGACTTTATCAAATTTTCAAATATATATTTCATTAATTTTAATTAAAATTTACTAAAATTTTGAGTTTTAGCTAAACCAAAAGGAGCTAAGGATCCATTTGATAGACAAAGGTGGAAAGAAATTCTAATTCTATGTTAGTTGAAAAATAAAAGCCTACAAAACCCATAGAAATTTGTTTTCCATAAAAATAAAGAAAAATAGAAAATGCAGCTTAAAGTAGTTGTACCTTGAAATTCGATTTTCATTTCTACGTTGCAATCAAAAGGTCAAAGTGGAATTCGTTTTCCCCGAATGTGACATTTTTCATGGAATTCGTTACAATTAAATATAACTTAAATTTTGTTTTTGTTTTTACAAAAGTTCAGGGGTCGTAATAGCAATAACTAAACTTTAGCGACGTAATTGTAATTTCGGGATGAATATCCATTACCCGACTGAGAACCTAAGTTAATTGTTTCATTAGCCAC